ACCTGATATATAAAAAGACAGGATAGAGGTGAAGACCTTTGCAGTGTGCCGGTACGATAATAGCCACTCACCATTAAAAAATGAGATTTGTTTCACTTTGTGTTTAGGAGATTTGAAGATATGGGCATTGCTACTTTATTTGTTAATTTTTTTTTTAAGTTCTTTACAAAGACAAAAAGATGTGAGGGCAACATGTTAAATATAATGCAATACAAAACGTGTATATGATTTAAAAGAGAAGGTAAACATAAGTAATTTAATCTAATAAAAGGCAGTGGCAAACAGAAAAGTTTTAGGCCTCAATTTAAAGGAACTGTGCATTGGAGCAGAACTGAAGTTGTCTGGAAGTTTGTTCCAAATATAGGCTACAGCATGAAACAATAAATCTGTCAACTGTCGGAGATTCTTCTACATTATTAGAAACAGAGGCTTAAACATCTCTGGTTGTATTTGGCCGTTGTGGGTAGTGTTGCAGATCAGTGAACAGGACTGATTCATGGCAATGTTGGATTTAAAAATGATTTTTTCACCAATTTGATTTGTCAGGTACCTATTTCGATGGATCTAAAATTCCTGTCTAGTTATTGTATCCATAAACTCTCCTTTTTTCATGATATATGTGTTTTCCTATAACATTACATAAACCATTCTTAGTTTGAGTTAACAGCTGTATCCCACAAGGCATAAATGCTGCTGCAATGGTAACCTGTGATTTCATATACTATCAAGTAGTACTCCATAGTAGTCATTTGTGGCAGGAAGACTGCTACTAAAAGGCAGCATATGTCTGTAGTGTTTGTGAAAATGCAGTCTAAATTATAAATATTACAGTAGTGATTAAAACGGGTATCTTGAATTTGTTCAGTATGCTTTTATTTATTATGCATTTTTAAACAAGGAGGAAGACTTGTCAGCTTGCCTTTTCCACTGTAGACTGAGATATTTCCCCCAGTGCATTGGATGTCTTTTATGAGTGCTGTCTCTGTAAGTACAGAGGCATGTCTCCTCTGAGGCCAAACTGATGAAGAATCTTAATTTTGAGTGTTTGTTTTGATGATTTATTGATCTAAGTTTACTCACACAATTGTTGTTGATTTTTCCACTTTGACAAATAGATTTTTTTATATCCACTTAGTCCATCCATCCATCCATCCATCGTCAACCACTTATCCTGCGTGCAGGGTGGTGGGGGGGGCTGGAGCCAATCCCAGCTGACATCGGGCGAAAGTCGGGGTACACCCTGGACAGGTCGCCAGTCCAATCCCCTTAGTCATTTCACATAATTTTATTAACATAGAACACTCATAGCGTCTAGTCCTCTGACTTTACACATAAGATTGGTAGTAATTTGTCTGACTAGTCTAATAAAGATTTACAGTTTTGCATATACGCAAAGTATACATCATATTCAGTCAAATCGTCCTTAATTAACAATGCAGAAGGCCATGTAAGCAGGTTTTCACTTTGTTACAGACACAAAGTATAAAAACATATGAGAAAACAATTATGCTTATTATAAGGCATCATTATTGTAAATGATACTAAACGTATTTTGCGTTATATTGCCTCTGTGTGTATTTTGAGTGTTAAAGGAAAATTATGTTATTTTTTTCAGCCTGTCATACTCATATGTATATACATTAATGAAATATGTGCATATATACATACATTAATGAAAATATGTAAATGCGTATGAGAGATTTCTAGATGGAGATTTTTTGAATGGAGTGGGACTTAAGATGTAATGCACTGCGATTCACATTCATCGTATAATAGCTATACATCACTAGTTTGGGGAAGATGCAGAACAAAGTAACAGCAAGTAAATAATAAATAGTTATGATAAGAGTTGCTGTAAAATCTTGTAACGAGTTGTCTCATCTGAGCAGTTGGTTTAGGTCAGACATGTTACAACTTGGCAGAAAATCCTTCAGTCAGTACATTTGCACAGAAGCTGTGATCCCCTGAAAAGTTTTGCACCCACTGCTCCAGCATCAAACCAAGAATCAGTTACAGTATGAAATTGCTTTATTATCCCACCTCTCTGCGTCTCTCCATTGCTTTAAAATGAAGGTTCTCTGGTGTCCTTTCTATTTCATATTCATACACACACTGCTATTACATTTTCCCCTCTAATATTCCTCCCACCAAATAGCCTCTGAGGAGACCAGGCAGCTGTCATGGCTCTTGTTGAATTCTGCAATCTGCCAGTAGTGTGTGTGTGTGTGTGTGTGTGCGCGCACGTGCACGCGTGCACGCGCAGAGGGGAACGGGTTGTAGGCGCCTCGTAGTGTTTGAGTGACACTGACTACAGTTTCAACCCTACTTGAGTGCTCCCATTGTATGGAAAGAGCAGGCTCATTTGCCAGTATTAACCTCTGTCAGTTCACTGTTCTGAGTTGTATCTCCTCACCCTTCACGGCCCTGACTCCTGAAGGCACCTGTCCACCAATCTCATTTATTTCAGCTGCCTGTTGAAATTGGTTGGTTGGAAACAAAGAGAGGGCACCTTTTATGCGACTGTTACATCTTAATAGCTCAGACGGAGATCTATGCTTTCTCGAATGAAATGTCATTGAAATAGATTTTCTCACCACATTCTACCTTTTGGTTTAAACCTTCTTCTCTTCTGTATTTTAGCCAGCTGAAGAGTAAAAACACAAGTGAGCTCAATTCAATTCAACCCTATTGTCAGAATACTTTTATACAACGAATCATAATGTTGTCAAAAAACTTATATAATATTAAACAGTGTCAGATTAGGGTTATTCTTTGGTCTACTCAAAAGTAGGGATGTTGCTGAACCTTCTTAGCCAAAGAGAGGGGGTATTAAGGAAGCAAGTGAGGTCCTCCTAGAACACCCGGATGTAATTCATGTAGATGAGGATGTGTCTGCAGCTTTTAGACTCCCTGAAATCCATAAGCTCTTTGGCCTTGCATCAGAGATTCAAGGTGTTTAACCTACTCCCTGTAGGCCGTCTGATCATTTTTGGTGATTAAACCTAGTACTCGGGTGTCCTTCGCAAACTTGATGATGGTGCTGTGAGTGGTGATCAGGCACACACATTGGTGAAGAGGGACTAACGGAGGGAGCTCCTCTCCTTAGGGGCTCAGGTTCAGAAACAGTACTACCTCCATCTTAACTCTGAGCACAAACGAGGTGTGATAATTAAAAAGTGGTCCCATTCCGGCCTTTGCTGTGGTAGATGGGAAACTTTACCTGTGTCACACATACATCCATGAAGGGCGTGAACATTTAAACTGAAATGATGAAAACCATTCCAAACATCACTGGAACGAACTACTACTAGTAACAACGTCTTGCAGCTGATTGACTGTCTGTGCTGCATTTTATTCATGGGCCATGTAATTCTTCATTCAAGATTGCAGTCTTCACCCCAGTGTGCTTAGGGATTTTTTTTTCTTCTGCTATCTTTCTTTCTCATTTATTTTTAAGGCTGGACACATTTGCGGATGTGCTCACATGCCAAGATTGAGCAAGCTAGATGTTGTGTGCTTATCTTAAAGGATTTCCTCTGAATGTGTCTCAAAACAATGGCACTAATCTGAGCCCTTAAATTCTGCAGGGTTTGTAATTTTCAGGATTACTTTCGTTTTAATTTCCCTAAAGGACAGAGGATTGTAAGGATTCAGGAAACAGAATCAGTTCGCAGGTAAAAGCTGATCCCTGAAATTAATCTTCATAACTTTCACAGTCGCTTTGACTAGCAATTAAGAAAATATTGTCCCAACTAATGTCAGAGACATTACATGTGCCATCTTTCAACAGTGGCTCTTTATCACAAAAGCTAAATGACAGTTATTACAAACTGCAAAACAGACATCGGCAGCACAATGCTGAAGAGACAGGAGGAGAGAGGAACGGGGCAAGAGCATTCATCTCCATTAGATGGTAATTGCCATCAGCAAGAGGTTTTTAGAGATGTTAATATGTGAGGGGAGAAGGGTGCGAGTGAAAATTCAACACTAGTTGTCCTGGCACTGCTTCATGACCTCATCGCAAGCTAATTTATCTCAATTAATACAAGATTTGATGGCCTGTGATTAATCCATATTGCTCAGCTCTGATTTTGCAATGGTAACAATGCTGAATTATCACTTCATAGATTACAGCTACCATATTATCATTTCCCTTGCATTTTTCTGCATCATTAGTCTGTGAATTGCATTTGACGTTTTCGCTGCCACTCATGCTGTCTGGCTAATACTTCTCATATTAATTGTTGAAATCTTCTCGTGATCTTACCACTGATCTAAAACTTTATGAAGCAGGGGATCCATTAGCACAAAACTAATAATTTTCTTTTTCCCCGAAGGCAGGACGCAGTGGAAACATCTTCCAAAACAAAATATCAGTCCTGCCACAGTTATTGCTTCATTCATCGTTCTCTCCACACAATTACAACTGTAAAACTAATATATTTTTATGATTCTGTACAATTAATTGTGCTAAAAGCCCATGAGAGCAGCTGGTGAGACTTTACAAAGCTGTGGCATGTGGAGCAGTTCTGCTCTAGTATTTTCAGCTGCAGTGGTATCTCATTGCATGGCCCAACTCCACAGATAAAGAGCTTTCTCACAAGGCTCAAAATTTCAACTGTATTTTTTTCCCCTGCTCGTAAAATTATGACCCCACTGCTATAAACCATCAAATCGCTGCTGTGAAATTACCCGTGGCTGACTGTTAGCGAAATTACCCAAGTCACCTTGATGCCGTGCTGTCTTGCAAACATCACAATTAAATAGCAAACAACTGCTATAAAACTGCCACCTACAAAATTAAACATCACATTTGTAATGCCTTGAAAGTAGCAAGTCATGATAGGTGGTCATGTCTTTACATTCTCTATGGTCGTAACACCCCAATAGTGATTTCAAGGGAGTCTTTTCCCCCCCAAAAACTCAAGCCATTTCATTTCTCTGGGTTTTGCCTTGCTTGGTATTAACCACCTCTTCTCTCTAATCACTTTGTTTTACAGTAGAGGAGATAAGTCTGAAGAGTGCAGTACTATCATCTGTGGAGCAGCTGGGAATCAACACCTGTCTCTGGTATGTACAGTAAAGTGTTTTCTATAGCTCATAAACCCTTTTTTAAATGGGAATTTTTACAGCTGCCACCTGGAAAAGAGGACCTGCTGTGTACAAACCTTTTTATTCGAGTCTTATACTCACTGAGCTGCCAGCTTTATCTTAGTATCTACCCTTAAATCCTTGAATCTTGCTTTCAACAAACACTAATACTGTTGATGTATCACATGTAAAACATTTCTGGTCCAATTTAGTTGTTTATTTATTAGAAAATGTTCAGATAAGGTACCTTTAATGGAAAAAATGTTAAACATCTAAGGTCAAATGTTATACTGGTTAGTGTATATATCAGATTTATAAAGCTGTCTGTAAGTATGGTTCAGATTTATTAACCACAGTGTGAGTCTACAGCCACAGAAGCATCTCTGTGAGGCTGGCAGTTTTATTGCCAGGTATGTGTACACATACGAGGAATTTGACTCAGGATTGTACATTGCTCACGATGTGCTTACTTATACAATAATAATATAATAATAATAAAATAAAATGAGACACAAACTACAGAGTAGACAACACTTATATACACACTATGAACAAAACAATATAGACTTATTGACAAATAGTGCAGTTATCAGAGTGCAAAGGATGCAGGAGTAAACTATTCTCATTATGTACATGTTGAAGGTGGATATGATACACAAGTACACATACATGTACACATGTATACAGTGGTACTTTGAGCTAAATAATGCATCAACATGCTCACAATGACGTGCTGATGTTTAGCAGATATAATGCTGACCATGTTAACTATCTTGATGTTTGTTAATTAGTGTTTGTTAATTAGCACTAAGTGCAAGTACAGCTGATGCAGATGAGAAGGAGATGAGTTTGAGTTTAATATTGGTCAGACAAACAAAATGCACTCGCTGACATTGGTGTACCCACATACAGAGCTTGAGTCTTCCAAACAAATGCTTTATGCCACATGTATTTGCTTATAAAAACTGTTTTTTTTATGAAATTATTTTCTATTTTAGGTGATATTTCATTTTTTTTGTTAACGTTAATCAGACTTAAATTAAATTAGTACTTTATGTGACTCTGTTTTAACCAACCCTTTGCTGTAAGTTATTTTAACCTCGCCTGAAATTTAGTAGCTCTGTCCTCTTTCACTCTGTTCATTTGAGTTTCCTGAAGCTACTATTACATTTGTGACCGAGTCACAGCAATGCTCCAGCATGAATATATATATTTAAACCATCTCTAAAACTTCCACTTCATTTCATTTCAATCAGCTCATGAACTTACAGCAAGCAATTTCACTATGACACCAGAGCTCACCTGACAGCATACTCACCCACATGGCGTATTAAATTCAGTCTCCCACCTTATTTTCCCATTTCCATATCACAGTGAGCTCAGTCTATACCAAAACCATGTTGTTAATAAGTATGTGTGAGTATGCGTGTTGGTTTTAGAAATCCTAGTTTATGCATGTGAAAAGGTTTATGCATGTTTTTTATGTGCGTACACATTGTTGATGCATCTGGCCCCAGGTATTGGCTTCAATCTGTCAGAATCACAGAGGAAAGGGGGGGTTCTTTCTGCAGCTGCAAATATGCACCAAAGATGAAAAGGGAGAAGGCCATTGCTGAGGAAATGGAGACAGTTTCTTCAGACAGACAGGGATTAAAATGGGGTGCAACAACAAGAGATGTGAGCTGTTTCCCAAATTCAGTAGCTGGATCATCTGAAGGCCACAGCCCACAAAGGTGTGTCCTTCAGAGGACCTGAAAGCCCAGATGAGATGGTCGGTCCACTTTGATTGCAGTTGTAGTTAGCAGAAAAACATGCTGCTGTACACAGATGAATAATATTCCCCTCTGCTCCTGCAGTAGCATTAGACCCCCACAGCTGGTTAAGGTGTGTAAGGGTTCTCCTGCTGCTTCTGTTTTCATTCTAATGGTGCTGGTGTGCATAATACATGATCTGTTTTTCATGTTCCCATAAGTAGACCCTCTGACTTGAGTTACTGTTCTCACACTGCTCGTTTCTGTCCTTAATGACACCCCACTGCTACATTATGTAGTGGATATAACTCTTTGCTCAACACCTCCTCCTGAGGGGAGCTTTTGAGTTGACAAGTTTCAGAGCATGTTCAGAAAGTCTATGTTTGCATTTTCGGTATCAACAGAACACAGTGGGTGAGCGTCACCCAGAGAGCGCCGTGTCTTATAGGATTTAAGATTGTTGGACATGAATTTATAATTAATCCTTGACTTACAAGTGTCAGACTTGCTGAGTTAACTCTGACCGCATTGGACTTGTTGAATTTAACTTTGATGAGTACTTTTGTGTATTTGCACGAGGCCTCCGTATTATATCTCCCATTGTGATGCGTGACTGTCATTTGAGTACAAGAAGGGGATTATGGGCTATGAGTTTTCCATGAGTTCATAGAATTTTTTTTGTCAAATACAATTTCACAGAAGTTTAGTTTTCAAATGCAGTAAAAAAAATATTTTGGTTGTTTGATTTAGAGTTTAATAGTGCAGAACTGACCTTTACTTCAAAATATACGCCCAATGACCTTTGGCTATAGTAAAATCTCAAATATTCACTGTAACTGTGGGATAGACAAACCCATGCATTATTTCTGTTTCGTCTTTTATCTGCAGGTACGGCAGCTACCTCAAGCTACTGAAAGAAGATGCTGTCAATGACCTGACACTGCTAATGAAGCACATTAAGATCTTCTTGTTCACACAGAGAGTTAAAACTGCTTCAGAGCTCAGTATCCTTTGCAGAGTCCATGTCTGCACTCATGAAGAGCAGGTAAGCTGTGACTATAAAGGTATTCACCCCCTCTGACATATCGAACATTTTCTTGGACCATTTGTTCAAATACATTAATATGGGATTTGTGTTTTGACAGGGGTCTCACCATAGCCTTGAAATAATTTAAATGACTTTCCATGATCATGTGAAGTCCACAAATTAAAATTGTTTGGAATGTTTTCTGGAAAGTGACTTCAACAAACAAATGAGTGTTTCTCACATTTCTCAACGTCTGATTTTACATAGAACTAACAGTTTTCTCCCAATAAGTTAATATACTGCCTATTACAATATACATTTCAATATATAATGCTGTAAATAAAAAGAGAAAAAAAACCTTAATAAATGTTTTTAGTGTGTAGTGGCAGAAGAGGAACTTGCTGTAGAGACGTAGCCTTAACTTCACCGTTGTTGTGCCGAGTTGTCCTCACCTCGCGGGACGTTCGGATCATTTATCACCATTAATGAACCACACAAAGAATATTACATTATTTTTAAACAGTACTTGAAACATATGTGCATGCAGCTGTCGGCCACGCGGCATACATGCAAATCTCTGCACTAGACCGGTTAAAAGTGGAGTTACGTGTGTTACAACCCCCTCCCCGCGCTCGCAATTGCTGCACACAAACAGTGCACGATTCGACTATCAGTCGACTATAGGCAAGACTTGACAATTCTGATTCGACTATATAAATCCTTAGTCAGGGACAGCCCTACTTCACACACCCACTCTTGTTTTCCACTTTTTTTTGTAAAAATAAAAAAAGAGAGAAAGAAATATCTAAATAGGATCCATCCAAATAAAGTAGTGAAAAAGATGTGCAAACAGTCGAGGGTAAAGTGGCAGTGACGCTTTATACAGCTGCGGTACATGCAAATACTCATTACCACACAGTAAGTCATGATAGACTTTACCATACAATAGTGCCCTGTGTTGATGCATACTTACATTATATTTTGTATTTTACATATATTATCTCTTTGGCCCCTTTGGTCTCTCCATTCAACTTTCACAGGACACTGTGTGTGTGTGTGTGTCAGGTTGATAACTTCACAGATTCTTGTTGTGAGAGAGACGAGGAGGGACTGATAGTGTCCATCTCTTTCTGATCAACACAATGCAGATTATCTTACTCCATCTGGGTCTCAGTGAACAGTTCAACCATCTTTTGTCCCAAATGTCAACTGATAGGCCCGCTCTCTCCTTCAGAAAGTGTCCATTGTATGTAGACGATTGTACATGAAAACACTGTGTAGAGATAAGCGTTCAAATATAAAAGAGACTGACATTTCACTCGTAATACTGAGACCATACTGGCATTTGAGATAATATGAAGAAGTTGGTTGTTAAAATCGTTTATGCTGAGTGATAAAGTTTTTAAATAATTGAGCCATATGCAGATTTACCACAGTGTTTCTGCAACTAGAATTTGTCTGTTATTGATATGAGGAGTATGACAGTAGTGATAAGATTCAGAAAGCTTCATTGTCCAAACTGTAGTACACAGTGTACAATATTTTTTATATACCTTTAATATACTTTCTAAACTTTATGTAGTTTATGTAATCTAAACTGATTTTAATGCATTGAATACATCCATAGCTCCTGAAATAACTAAGTAGTTTCACAGTTGAAGTAAGGAAATGCAAAATAAAGCCCTGATTTTAGAGAAGTCAGTGTTTTTAGTTTGAGCGTGTCTATTTTCATTCATGTTACTGATTGATGGTAGATCAAAATGCTTTCTTTCTTTTCCAGGGGGCTCTGCTTTATTTATAATTCTTTATCATTAGAAATGATGTCTTGACAGAGTGTACTACAAATACATTTTCAAAGAGCATGTAGTGGTATTTAGCTGTGTGTGTTAGTTATTGAGAGCTGATCCAGTGGTTAAACCAACCAGCCAACTCATATTGGTGCAATGTCCTTATTGTAACATGAATAATTTTTGTAAAGCACATTTTACATGCTGTTACATAATATCCAATTAATCTTTCAATGGCAAATTGCAAATTAAATCTTTCTGTGTGTATTGTAAACAAAAGTTGAAGGTTGACAATATTCAAAGGCAGACATAAAAAGCAGGAAGTGTCGATAGCTAGGGGTTGTTTTCTGCAGTCAAATCAGATTGCATTCTCAATCCCAGTTCTCCTGGAAAAGGACTCAGACCTGCATATCAGTGCAGTTATTTGCTTTCAGCGGGATTTGATTGACATTATCAGATGTCTAAATAAAAGTGAACTTTAACAGTAAATGCTCCAGAGCCTGAATAAACCAATCGAGATGTACTCTATGAGAGAAAGTTAGTGTCCTTGGAGTCTGATTGGGTTGTGACCCTGGTGTTTAAAATCCTTTTTTTTTTTTTTTATTCTCAGCAGTGTTGTGGTGTTCACAATGCAGAGCTACCACCTGGGACACCTTGTAGTCATATTGGCTGAATTTCTTACAGGATTCACACGACTTGTTTTTCCCAAAAAGCACAAAAAAACTTTTTTCACACTTACAGCAAGCCATGCAGATAACCTAGAGTCTGTTTTTAGCCCTTTTTTTTCATCTCATAAATTCACAAAATGATACTGCTGACAGAGAATTGGATCTTGGCAGTCTTAACTGTAGGAAGCGGTTTTTCTGCTTTGAGATAATGGTCTGGTGTATCAGGGTTAATTGACTGTCAAAGCATTACTCGCTCTGTAGTTGACACTCAATGGCGTCAGTGTCAGTTGACAGTAAAGTGTTATTAGCTTAATGCTTTATTTAACACAACATAAGGAGTTTCTTGTGACACCTCATACTGATCTTTGCAAATTCTTTAACATATAAACATACGAATCTCAGCTTTTAAATATTCTACCGGTATTTGTGTAACTAATTCTGTTGTTCAAGTTAATTCAATACTTCTTGCGGTTGGCAGAAAATATCTCAGATACTGATCCACAACTCCGTAGACCATTAATTAGTAATGTAATGCAGAGGCTGTTACTTAATTCATGACTGCTTTCTCTTGAGTAAAGCTGTTAATATTTAAATTTACACTGTATGGGTCCATGTATCTTCACCTAAGTTGTCAATGGACCACTTTCATAAAGCAAAACTAATCTAAGGAGCTATGTTTGTCTGAGTCTGTGATCGTTACATCTTCACCAGTCCTTTGGCTCTTTAACTCTGTCCTCCAGTCACTCAGCAGGATGGTTATCCAGGCCACGACTGGCTGGCCTCCACAGTGTTCCTCATCATGGCTGGAGATATGGACCGGTCTCTAAGTTTCTTACTCAACCTGTCCTCTCTGCTTACCTCTGCATTCATCTGGCCAGCAAGGATACATGCCTCTGTGAGTATAACAACATGCAAATATAACCTCAGTACAGTGTATTCAAAATAGCTAGGATTTTAATACATGTAGTTATTTAGCACTTTTGAAGCCCTAAATGGCAACAAACCTGAAATTTGAAACACCATATTTTCTCAAAATTCATGCCTCATTATTCAGCAATTTTGTATTGTTGCTGTCTTGCCTTGTGAATAGTTCAGTCATTGGTTTCACCTGTTACTGGACAAAATAATCACATGCTTCTTGGGGGAAGGTTTGAAAAAGGGGAAAACAATAATGTAAATGTGGTCTACAAAGGGTGTGTGTGTGTGCTAAAGTAGTTAATATAGGAAGCTACTCTCAACAGCTTTTTCCATCTGCATGTAAGTTAAATGCGTCGGTGTCATTCAGAGACAGCTGCTCTGTGAGCCTGTGCGATCTACAGTTTTACATCTGTGTAGATCTGAAGAGATTTTTATATGCAAGTAAAATTCCAACTTTAAAGCCCCACCTTTTCATCTAGGGTGAACTTCTTAGAAAAAAATGTTCCCATGTATGACCTTATATTAACATTACTATCTTTGAAGGGGGGAGAGAGAGAGAGAGAGAGAGAGAGAGAGAGAGATTTATTTCTTGATTAATTATTATGTAATTATAGTTGTGAGTTAAGGGGTCTTGCCTTCTCAAAAATATAACTAAATCTAGCGGCTATGGAAATACCATGTGCAGTCCACATGAACTGCGATTGGCTGCTGGTCTTTTCTCCAACAACTTTCTGATGGCAGAGGAAATTGTTAATTGTTAGGGAGGAGAAGAACTTGAGCCTTTCTTTTCAGCTTGCTTTATATTATCCTATCACAATAAATTAACACCATAAATATGGTAATTGCATGTAAATGTCCCATTTTCAGTAATGAAAAAAAATGCAGAACTATCAATCAAAACCCATGTTGTAGGTATCTACAGAGGAATTCCTGTTTACCCCTTACGTCAAGTAAAAATCCAGCTTAACATTGTACTTGCCTCTTCTCGTGTACACTGAAATGCACCTTCACAAGTCTGCCTCTATCCTCATTTAATTCCACCTTTTTCTATACACAGCACGTCAGCAATCACAGCAAAGCTACAGCAACACTACAGCAAAGAAAACATGAATAAATGAAGATGATGATGAATCCAAACAACATTTTTCACATAATGACTTTTAGTTTGACTCTGTGTCTTCATTTTTCAACATGGTGGAAAACAAACAGGGAGAGGAGTAGTATGAGGAGGAAGATAACTAAAAGAGATAAATGAGAGGAGAAATAAGAGTAAAAGGAATAGCTCAAGTTAAGGGGAAAAGTCTAAAATGAAATCTAATTTCAATCATTCTAAATTGCAGGGAGAACTGAGACGCTGAGATTAAGCTTTGCTATCATTCTAACAACCTCTGTTATCCTGTCGTCTCTCGCCAAAGTCAATCACGGCTCAATTGGACTCGACTGAATGAGTATTTGTGTTACGTGCTTTCACTGTGTTTGATGGAGCCGGTAAATTTCTCCACACAGCACTTAGTTTCCACCTACACAGCGTGGTCGATTTAGTCAATATCACGGAGAAGAGAAAGGGCACAAATCATTAAGAGCAGCAGCAAATTTAGGAGGGAATGTGGGCGTGAACGCACACCGCTACCACACACATACAAACATCTGTATGTGAAGACAAAGCAGCATGCTGTGTCTGTTTACATTACTCAAAATAAAAGCTGTCAAGTTTTTTTCCCACTATATCAGCACGGAATACAAAACACAAAACTTGGAACTGATGTTGTGATGAATTGGACGTACAGATTAACAGCCCTACCCTGAATCTAAAAATGTTCAGAAAACAACAAAGATGAAAAACTTGTGTTTGTCGCAACAGATCCATGTTCCTGTGCAAGTAGCTGAATCGGGAGTTCCTCCTGTTTACTGGTGTACAGCTCACTATGTGGAGATGCTGCTGAGAGCTAAAGTTCCTCTGGTCCACTCCGCCTTCAGGATGTCTGGTTTCACCCCATCCCAGGTACGATCTGTAGAGAAGGAAACAAACACTTCACTTCAAGCTAACTGGTTCAAGCATGTCTCTAGGGCTAAGCTTTAAAATAAAACTTGATAATCATTGGACATTTTCCTATAAAGGAATGGACTTGTTTCAACAAACTATTAGTCCAGAATCTGTCCATTATTTTCTTGATTAATTAATTTGTGGATTGGTCAATAAAATGTCAGAAAATGGTAAAAGAAAATAAAAATGGTGATCATTGTTTTCAAAAGCCTAAGAAAAGTCTCAAAAGTTTCAAAAGTCTTGTTTCGTCCACAACCCAAAGATATTCAGTTTACTGTCCTAGAGGAGTAACAAACCAGAAAATATTCACATTTAAGAAGCTGGAATCAGCCGATCAAACAGATTAATTGATAATTAAAATAGTTGCTGATTAATGTAATAGTTGACAACTAATCGATTAATCGTTGCAGCTCTAGTCCTCAGTAAGTTGTTGCATTGCTTTAACCAGGGATCATTTACCAATTAGTGTGTCATCTGTGACATTCATTTATTTATTTAGTAGTAGTAGTATTTAGTTGGTTACTCTTTGTTCTCTTTGCAGGCTTTTTTAAGTCTTAACCTTCTTGCTGTGGGGCAACAGTGCTCAACACTGCACACATTGTCATATGCCGTGCTTTACGTGGCATTACCAGTGTTTACACGTTGTAATTCATGGAGTTGTAGAGGATTGTTATTCACCTTTTGTAGCTTTTACTGTAGCCACTTAGTCCGTTTTCACTCTGTAATAGTCTTACTGTCTGAACCAGATTTGAGTCAGGTTTTGCATGTATTAGTTTATGCACTAACTATTTTATTCTATAAATCAAAGCTATTGGATGGATTTTTAGCAAAAGCACAACTGAAACTGCATTCACCAAACATTATATGCGAGAAAACTAAGCCTACAAATTTTTGTTCACATTATTTAATACCCGTTACTGATTCATCTAAACTGAAGGACTGTTGAAAAGATTTCAAGCTTTTTCAGACTTAATCGGATCACTCCATCAACATTTATGTCAGTGAAATAGTTAAGCTTTGCATTTCACTAAGTAAGAATTGTGCTGAAAACTAAATGCGCTATTTGACTTGTATGTGTAGTAATAATGTAAATTCACAGGAACATTTAGAAAGTTAAAATCAGACTGATGAAGCTTTGAAGACAGTAGGTCCTGTCTATACTGCAGACAATTACTTTAAAAATAAATATTTAATTCTTACTTTTATCTTTGTATGAAAATGTTTCAATTTTCTGAGCCTCTTAGATCAATTTAGGACAGTCATGACTACTGGAAATAAAAGGAACGAAATTTGACAGTTCTTCACTAATACCAAAACAGCCAGCAACCCATTGTGTTTTATTTTTTTATTAATGATGTCAGTAACTGGGTTTAAAGCTTTTATAACCACGCTTTTGGCTGCCATACGAATTGACTTCCCTTTTTATCCTCCTTTGACTTCACTCGACTTTAAAAAAACAAAATACGAATATTTTTCCTTTTTTAAAAAAAACAAAAACAAAAAAAAAACAGTAAAGTTAGATCTTTGCTCCTTGGCTCTTGATTCTTTTGACACAGACTTCTCTCTCACAAACAACGAGGTAGAAAAAAGGTTTTTCACCTTGAATCCTCTTATGTTTGATCCTGTCTTCTGTGCGTCGGCAGCTGACAGCTGAGGCTCACATAATGTACGGCAGCAGGGGTGCTTATAAGACTCGCCGCATTTGCATCAAAGATCTGAACTCGCCGTCTCCAGGGTGGAGTAATACGTTAACATTCAGCTCATCTCTTTGCTCTTCAAGGCGATAATGGGCACCTGTTCTTCAGTCAGAAATGGAAATATCTATTCCAAAAGTTTGAAAGGTGTGAAAGCAGCAGTGGCAAATGAAGCATTATACACATCTGACATTCATACAGTAGAGGTTGTATGTATGTGGAGGCAGGCTGCAGTCAAAATCCATCTACAGAAAGAGCTTAAGTTTAAGCATTTGAAACTTTACACTTTAGTGTGAACAGCAACTTGTGGTAGTAAAGGATAACTAAGCCGTAACAGTAAAACTAATATTGACACATGTTTACCTTATTAAGACACAGAGCTATATTATCATTCATTTGGAGTCGTGTTTCTGGCCTCCTCGCAGATTTAAGTCCAATATTGACTCTCTGTTTAGCTCTGGTTTTATCTCCACAAACTCCTGTGGGAAATATCTGGCTCTTTAGTTGCTAAAGAAAAGAAAGAAATACCTTTTCAGTTACATGTTGCGGCTGAAAATGAAGTTGATGAAGGACAGACTGATCCAAAAGACACTAAAACATATATAACATTGAATCATCACTCAGCTCTACTGCTGAACAGTCAGTGTTTAACACACACGAGCAGATTCTGACATCTCGGTGAGCTGGCCGATGTGACCTGACCAGCTCAGTTTAATAACAGCTCTGAAAGCCTGTTTATGGCAGAAGGGAAATGAAGTAAAGAAGACTGCAAGAATACAGTCACGCTCACCTTTTGCCCCCTGAGTTTTAACTCAGACAAGAAAGAAGACGCTGCTCTTGGAAAGACCTTGAAGGGATTTATAGTCACAGAAAGTACTGTACTATATGTGTACTTGTTTTTCTGCCCGAGGGTTTAAAAACAAAGCGCAGCATGGATCCAGATGTTCCCTGTTTTATTACAACACACAAATTAGGATGTCAGTATTTTCATTAGAGTATAGCTGAGGAGGGGGCGATAACAGTCATAATAAGTGGAGCTTGTTTGTATGCTTGAGCAGCCTTGTGTCATTAGTGACTAATTATTGGCATGAAAATTAGTTTGTTGTTGGTTCAATATTTGGATGTAAGTATTGTGAAGCTCTGTCAGAATCAAAGCTACTGATTGTAGTAAAATCCTAATCAGGAACAGCAGAGATCAGCCTAAGGCCCCGATCAGACAGAAAGCGTTTGCAGGTTCGAAAAAGCAAAGCGCACAGCAGCGTTAACGTTTATACATGCCCAACACTTGCAGTTTGTGTTTATATCTTTCTTTTTCTTAAGTTGAAAGGTGATCTAAATAAAATTTGACTGCTTTTGCGGCGTCTCTACGGGGGAGTCGCGGTGTGAGCCGCTATCTTTGTCCGTTGTTTTGCCCTCCAGGTCACCGCGCATGTCACGTGACTGAAAACTATGAATAAAAACAATTTATATAAGATGCCTCTCACTACAAAAAACGCTTTCTGTCTGATCTGGGCCTTAAAGAGTGGATTTTACCGACCATTTCGCATGCTGCTTCTTTATGAGGCATGTACAGTTGTCAGCATGCTGTCCGTGGCTCTGAGGATGGTAATGTCGGTCTTTCTGTCGGGCCACCAGTTTGGTTCAGACTAAAAAATCTCAACAGCTACATGATAGATTGCAAAGAATATGTTGTACAAACATTCATCATCCCCAGTAGAGGAAGCCTACTGACGATTTCCTGCAGGGACGCCATGAGGTTGTTTTTAGTAAAACATTCTCAACATCAGATGGATTGCCATCAATCCATCTAATAGTTCACATCACATCTAAATGTTGGTGAAACAGCTTCAAAACAGCATTTAAATAAATGGCAAAATGCACCCACAGGACAATAAATAGATTCTTCCTTGGCTTGAATTACAATAGTTTTAAATTTTTGAAGTTCAGATTGTAACTTGCATTTCCATTTTCTGCACAAACAGACTGCTGTGTGACTGATTTGATATTATGTTATCTTTCAGTATCTTATCTACTGACTTCGGTTTATCATGAGTTGTACAAATCACACTATAGTACAGAACATAGTTCTTAACAGTCAGCGGATCCAGTAGGTAAATATCATTTTGCTTTAGATACTGTAGTACTGTGTGTTCTTTTCTCTGAGAACAAGAGAGAACCCCTTGCTGAGCCACTGCATTAATATCACAGATCTTACCTCAGTCATCAGCTGCAGAAATAAATATGCGTCCCCTAATCCCACCTCAATATTCAAGACTGCTTGTGAGTTATCATTTTTCACTCTCAAAGTAAACATGTTTCCAGAAAGATTAATTTAGAAAAGCTGATAAATCAGAGTCACAAATGGAGTAAATATTTCCTGACATATAGAACAGAGCAAACCATTCTTTGAATAGGCAGGTTAGTGAAAAATTCTTGTCCCCAAAAGTGGGTAACTCATTTTTATAATACATACTATGTTTCCATGTGAACAACATTTCTTAACAGCACAGTGTTAATGAGGCATGACGTTTTTTAAGTCCTCTGTGGCAAATACTGTACAATTTTAAAAAGTTATTACACATCATGAATTTTTTTTTTTATTTCACATTTAGGCCAGATTTAGGCCAACATCAACCTACACATTGATCCTCATGCAAGTTTGAACAGATTTGTTCTTAAGTGGCACGTACAAGAGATTTAAGAGCATTGTGGCAGTTACAAATTTTCCTGTACTTACACATTTCTTTGTGGTACGACTGAAATGAGTGGTTCAGACCTGTCGTAAGAGCCATGTACAGATTGAAAAATACATCTAACTTAATGTCTAACTGCGACAGTCGAATGACCACCTTAGCTGTACTAATAATTTTTTTAATTCTGGTCCCCTAATACCCCTACTGACTGATGTTTCATTCAAAAAAGTGTTAAACAAACAGAACATGTAGCCAATTATGACAATTTTAGGGGTGTTGATTATGCTAATGATCAAACCTCAGAAACGCACTCCTCACAGAGAGGCGGAAATGAGCTGAGTTTGTGCAGGTTGGAGAGTTTGGTGAATCCGACTGAAACACTTGAACGAACAAACATCACAGTAATAATAAAGATAATACAAAATGATTCTTGCACAAGACCTAACATCATGGAATCTGGAGTTGTTGTATACGCATATATTAAGTACAAGCCCCAATCGTCATGTAATGTCCATCTTCCATTCATCTCCCACTGAATGTGGTGTGTTGTGTCTGAATATCTGTCTAAAATCTATTCGATTTCCTTTTGTCTCATTGTGACTAGATTATTATATCTTATTTATTTTAAATGGCCACTACGTCTAGTTTAAAGTACCACATTAAGACTTTTGTAGTACCTCATTATTACTTTTGTTTTGGCTGGCAGAAACTCTGATGGCTACTTGTGAAATACAGGAACCATTCAAAGGTTCTGCTGAGCTTGCCTAATACCTCTACAATCAACCTCCATCTTTCATTTGACATCAAAACACCTACTGATGTCCGTGTTACTCTGCTTATTATTGAGTTCTGAAACACCCTGTGACTCTCTGACTTGTCTTTTAAATACTGCTCATAATTTTGTGGTTTTACTCTCAAAGCTGGGGTAGACAAAGTATTTCAGAACCTAGTGTTGAAATTCTCTTTACATCCCGACAGCGTTCAATACATCAAATGCTCTGACACAAAAATGAAAAAACTCTGTGGGGGAGTGACTAGAGGGAGGCCTGAAGGGAAGGGGCGGGCTTTTTCAGCTAGACACTTTCAACATCAAGCTATCTATTGCTTGTTCTCCAACATTGCCAACCCCCACTTTAAGTGTACCATCTCATGGTTATGTTTATGTGACATCATTTGGTGGTTTTATACAGATTTAAGTAAATGTGCCAAATCCTGAGCAAGATGTAATAAACTTATATGGAACTGTGACGGAGAAGCACTTTACTGCAAACTCAGACACAGTAGATCTTGAGAATATATATTCTTCCCCTTTTAAATCTACTGAAGACAGCTATGAAGATTGATGAGAGACATTTTATAGTGACATATTTGATTTATTATAGGGAGAAGAATAATTGTCTGAAACATGATTCATTATTTGTCAGAAGCACACAGAAGATTATTCATATGACAGTATAATTGGGGTCTTCACTTACTTCACCTGTATTAAATCAAAACTACACAGACGTGGTCACAGAAGAAGTTGTAATATTGTGATGACAGGTTTATTCTTAATTATGGGGGGATTCAAGAGCAACATAATCCTGGAAATTATAATAAAGTGGGGCTTGTGTCTTTCTTACCGCAGATGTGCCTCCATTGGCTGACGCAGTGTTTCCTGAACTACTTGGACTGGACAGAAATCTGCCACTACATCTCCACCTGTGTGGTGATGGGACCCGACTACCAGGTTTACATGTGTGTGGCTATATTCAAACATCTGCAGCCAGACATCCTGCAGCGTACACAGTCCCAGGAGCTGCAGGTCTTCCTGAAGGTGAGATGGCGCGTCAGTACTACAGTGTATTTTACAGGCACTATATAGAACTCTATTTAAAACTCAGTTGGCCTTGTGTATCTGTAAGTTTAGTCTGTATGTCTTTCTCATCTTCTCTTCTTATGACTTGTTCAAATGCCTTGTTTTATCTGACCAAAAGTCCAAATCCCACAAATATTGAATTTACAAAGATATTTAATAGTGAAAAGCAGAATGTTTGGCATTTTTGCTTAAAAAATGGCTGAAACGATCATCGGAATCCAGTAGTTGTGGATATATTTTTTTTAATCAATCAACTAATTTATTAATTGACCCATATAGCGTAACGCAATCAGTGATGTTGCTCCACTCATTTCTGGTGCCTCCCAGAACAACTGCCCTTAAAGTTTATTTTAACAAGAAAGATGTCGTACTTCTGACAGGATTTGGTAAAATTTTTATTTTCCAACTGGTAGCCACCAAAAGGATGGGGCACAGTGGATTGCAGATTGTTTTCAGCTCCCGATGAATGAACACTGCAGCCGGTCCGGGACTGAACATGGCCCCTCAGCCGACAGGCCAGTTTGGTAACCGGGAATATAGTACTGAGGTGGTTTTCTTGCTGTGTTTGCAGCCGTTTTAAGTGCATGTTTTCACTCGCACAGACTTCACTAGGTTAAAACCTTGGGTAGCCTATGATGTTACAAGTTGCGGTGGATATTTTAGAAGCTCGGACCACCTAAAGCAGCAGTGAACACACAGTGTGCAGATGTTGGGTTGTGGTTGTTTAATAGGTTGTGTTATTAACAAGCGGGTAGAAAAATACGAAAAAAAGATGAGTTCTGTGTCTTTAAGCGACTTTACTATGTACTGCTGATGGAGAAAGTGGAGCAGACGGTGGGGGTGTGTGTTTACCTGAGGTGTAGACCTCTCGTGTATCTGAGTGTGGGGAGAAGAGAATTCCGAGGAAGGTGCGTAGCATATTTAAAATTTATAATAATAATGTTTGTGGTGACTAAAAGCTGCATGGAGGTAATGTGTGAATCTATATGTATTTTTTTTCCTTTGCCGGGGGTCGGGGTTTTACAATCACGATGCCTGCTCAACCCTCGACCATTTGTCAGCCATCGCCTATGGACGATGGCATCATCTGTCGGCCCAACCCTACTGGCCATTGCTTATATCACACCCTGGTGTATTTTGCTGGAAATGTACTGTGACAAAAATATTTCGTTGAAATAAGTTTTGCTCAGTGAATAATAGATGAATGCTGAAACAAAGAGCTGCCCCAAAGATTTCATAAAAGGTCTAAAGTCACGGTCTCCGAGATACTTCTACTAACATCCAAAGCAACATTAAACACCAGCATTGTTAACAAGGCATGGATTGACATGAAGCACTCGTCGTCATTACTCATTAAGCATTTCAATCTGTCTTGTCTCTGGCTGATAGCTCGGTGTTAACATCGCCATGAGCTGCAGCTGACAGTTTTTGTGAATAAAAGATCAGTTATGGAGGCTTTATCTGAGGAAGCTCTTCTAATGAGCTGTAGCATCAGATACTGCGGCAAGAGACAGCTTTGAGACAGAGTGTGTGTTTGTGAGTCTGTATGTTTGTGTGTGTGAGAGAGGAACTTACACAAGCCTCGTCCTGAGTTGAACTGTTGAAAGTTTTAGACATGCTGGTTTGCGTCCGATGGCCTTATCTTTCCTCTTCTCCTCTGTTTCTCTCTGTGGGAACAATATGAAGGAAGTATTTTACTCAGATATGGTATTAGAGGATTTTTTTACACACACACGTACCCCTCTACACTTATCCTGTCTCACTAGGGGGTATATCTATATTTCATCAAAATTAAAAAGGCAAATGGCTTGTTACAATCGTTCTGAGTCTGGCTGGAGCTTCGCTGCATATAGCTTAAGTAGTGAGAGTACATTACATTTACATTACATTTATTCATTTAGTCGACGACTTACAATTGCTATGCATGTTAGAGGTTGCACGCCTCTGTCTTGCTCAGGGACACAATGGTCTCTCACACCAAAGGCATGGGTGTTATCCACTCCCTCATCACCACCCTAAAGTAGACAGAGGTTATATGTCTGATGCTGACTCAGAGGCTGCATGAAAACACAAAACAAAATAAAGCTTCTACTGCCGTTCCCACAATGCCATGCACATTTGTCATTGCTCGTAGCATCATAATTTCAAAACAATTTCTGTAATCTGTAGAATCTATGAATCCAAATTCTAACCAAATAAAAAAGGATGAACTCATTCAGCCTGCTATTAAGGGGCACTAACTATAATATCTTCTTTTAACCAATTCTTTGAAAACTCTTTAATGCTCTATCTTCTTATTAATTACACCTTCTGTACAAATCCAGACTCGCAGTGAATATTAATACCACTCATTTGTCATGTGAGGACAAGCTTAAAGAAAACATAGATCTTTGGTATGCATTAATTAGCTTACCTAATGATCTCCTAAGTGCCAATGGCTAATATATCTTTAAGATTATGTGGGACATTAAGCAGCTGATATCACCTGTTCAGCATGAACATATACAGCTAAACAGTGCTGAAAGTCGGCACATACAGAGTATATTTGGTGTAAAACTTAAGGATTCCACATTAGTCGGACACTAATTCCTACACACGTCTTTGCATCTTTCTTTTTCTCGCCCTCCTTAATTCTCCAAGAGAAAAAAAAAAAAAAGACCAAAAATACTCTCCCAAGTGATTTCCACTGCTTATCTCTACTCTCCTACTTGGGTTTAACTGTGTCAGCAGTCATTTCCCGGTGAGATAAATGAAAAGGCGAAGCAACTTTAGTTTTGATGATGCTTCAGAATTAATCTCAAAACATCTTGGCCGAAATAAAGAATCTGTCAAGTCTGACTACTATCCAGTGGGAGACTTTTTTAATTACTTTAGTGTAGTGCTCTTATGTTTTGACAAAAAGAATACATATACAATCTGGCAACAAAAGATGGATTTTAATAGATTTAGAGTTTTGTAGCTGGTCCTGCTGAAAATAAACTACTACAATATGAACATCAGTATATTAAATACGTCTAGAATGTGACCTCTAATTCATACTATCAAGTAATTAAAAGGAGATTTTTCCATTATAAAGTGTGTTTAATGTTGTAATGTGGTGCTGCCTGGAGTAGTCACATGAGTAGAGTCCTCCATCAGACTGAAAACTAATTTCTTCTTGACATTACTTACTCCCCTCTGAATGATCACCCCTCTGTAGTCACTCGATTTGTTCCCTTGAATTAATAAAAACCTATCGCTCCATTTGCTGTTAATCTATTTCTATTCCTTGCACTTCACTCCTTTGTGGTTTTTCTACACGCATGATATTACCTAATAAAGAACACTCAGTGTTTTTTGTTTGATTGTGATCTAAGGCAGTGGTTACATGTCATATCAAGTTTAACATGGTTGACCTGTGAACCAAAAGGAATTCTCCTTCATAAGTTATTTCAAGTCCACTTCCACTCAACAAAACTATGGCTGCGTTCAGACTGCCAAAGTGACCAAAATCTGATGTTTTTGGTCATATGTGACTTAGGTCTTGAACAGTGTGAAGAGCCCAGGCCACATGGAATCTGACCTTTTCCAATTCAGATTTGGGCCACTTTCAAATGTGGTCTAAATCCGATACAGGTCTGGACAGTCAGATTGGAATTCATGCAACTCTGACGGCAAGAGGGCAAGGAAATACGGGAGTCCCCCGTGAAAATCGGGGTGGTTAGGAAGTATGAGCTAATCGGAGCTAAAAAGGAGCTTAGTGGCTCCTTGTTTACTTCTGTATGACAGTGTTCTGCGTCTGACGTTGTTTTATTCCTCTGCGCATCCGGGTCTGATATGGGCCACGTTTAAAGTATAATGTCGGAACTGAGCATTAAGGCTTGCAGTGTGAACAAAGTCGTATACAGCCACGCTGGCTGATCTTTGAGGCTGTATTTAGGCACAGCACTGCTACAAACTAAATGCTACTGACAGCATGCTAACATACTCTCACTGAATTGGACAAATAAAGATTCTGACCTTATGATGGTGATTCAACCTGAGGATGACATGAATGTCTGCACCAAATGTAATTGAAATCCATCCAAAAGTTTCACAATGTCGTCTTGTTGACCCCTCAGTTAGTCTTGTGACCCCTTTGGGTTGGCCTGATCTCCAGGTTGGGAAACACTGGTGTGAGTTTAATGAAAGCCAGGTAATGTCTACATTATATGTTTGAAACAATCTCATTAGAAGAGGAAATAAGTTAACAGAACAAGTCTCCAACCTTAAATTGTTCTCACAGTATTGACTGTGTTCTCACTGCATCGTGTCCTTGTCAGTGTTATTTACCTGCATAAATAAAAACCCTAATTAGATTCTCCAAAAACACATTCTGCAAAGTGATGAAAGAAAATTAGAAGAGTGCTGACAAGCTGCAGAAGTCATTAAACTGTGGCAGTTTTTTTTTAAAGGCCTTGGCCTGAATAACGACAGAGGGGGAATTCAGGGTCTTTGCTGCAGTTATTCTGAATGCGGTGCATCTTCCGAGTGCGGCTTTTCTCAGGCTACTAATTGATCATGCCACTCACAGCGTAACACCAGTCACAGTTATTTGCTCTGTCGCAGTGTTTGCATTGCCCATGAGTTCAGGTGAAGTCATGACAGATGCATTTCTGTAGCTCAGGCAGCAATTATGGCAGCCGAAATTAAAATACTGACTGAACAAATGAGCCAAATAAAATGTGTTTTTGTCAGGTTTGATTCTCGTCTCTTAGGCAGTTAAGATATCTCTGCATATTAAGACATGTCTTATTATGAGTACACCTGGTGGTGAAGATGCCAGTACTTATTACATAGTAATTAAGATTATGCTTTTCTGACACACAAAACCTCATTACTTCAATGCTAAGCAAGGATGTTGTTTACTGGCATGGTGCAGCATTCAATTCCCAGAGATTTAATTTGATTTTCTGTGACTTTGAAATAGATTGAATGTAAAGAATTTTAATGAAAAGGTTATATGGAATTATTCACACTTCACCTCCTAACAAAGTGAATGATAATAAAGTAGGCCGCCTTCTGTCTGCATACCTTCATGTCTTAGGACACTTACTTTAGTTCTATCTTTTTGGTTACAGTAACTACAGCTTTGTTTCTTAAAAAATAATCCACATTTCCTGGGTGTAAGAAATTATCTAGTAAAACAAAACTTGTGATGGACTTTAAAGCGTTGATTGCCAACCTGAGGGGTCAGGATTCTCAAATGGGACCCAAGCTACAACTTGCTCTAAAATAATTAGAGGGATAACAGAAAAACAGATTAATATGTGATGCACAACATTTTCTTTTGAAACACTGATACTTTTACCAAGGCCATTAGTCGTTGCTTCATTTAAGGGGATACTCCGACGATTTAGACACATTTAAAAAAGACTGATCATAATTAAAGCAGCAGAGGCTGACTTTTAATCCATAGCATGAGTCAAGTTCCAAAAAATGTGGGATCCTACATTTCCCATGATGCCCCCTATTTCATCTAGCATCCCTTCTTGCCTGGTATATTCCCATCACATTCAAACTCAATGTCTCCAGTTTGTAATGCAGACTTTCTGTTAGAAATGTGCTGCCTCCAAACTCAAGGCGAGATAACCCCCGATGACATCACTGTGACATCATCAGGGTTATTTCGTCTTCAATGCTGCGTTCCAGGCAATTCGGAAACTTCTGACCTCCAGCTAGAAAAACTATCCTGGACTGTACTTTTGGATTTCCTACTTGTGAACTTGGAGAAAAAATTTGTACCCGACTTCACGGGTAGCAGCTGAATGACGTCACAACAATTGCAGCTCCCATGGAAGCACACATAGACTAAAAGGCAACATAAAGTATATTCCACGTATTTAATTAAAGTATAATACTACTAGTGTAATACTATCATATAGTAAAACCTGTTCTGCATGTGAATTGATGTAAAAATATGTTGCTAGGTAGCTGGTTACACTAAAGAATCTCTAAGTCGTCTTCTCTACAAAAGAGTTATTCAGTAAAATGTAAAAAATGCCAAAACATTAGGAAGTATAATGTAACAACATTTACTATCTTTTAAGGGTTTACCACTTCAGTCATGTGTTTTCATTCAAACTGCCATAATTTTAATTAACACCAAGGGCAGTGCTGAGGGTGCAACTGTGTGTACACTTGAGAAAGTGTTTGTCACATTCAGCCATTTTTTTTCGTTCACTTTCGGCGTCAGGCATCACCATACACTTGGAACGCTTTGAAGTTGGAAGTCGGATATATCAACTTGGAAATTTCCCAGTTCCGAGCAGTCTGGAACGCAGCATAACTCCTCCATCCTCCAGAGCCACGTGCATCATACTATTATACTCTGTTTTCAGAGACTCCGACTACTCCCCATGCTGAGTAAACTGACCTTTCTATATGAAATAAATAATCAAAAAATGGTGGAATGCCCCTTTAATTTAGTGCAATGCTGATAACTCCAACTCCAAAAAAACTTTCCTTTTACCTGCAGGAGGAGCCAATCGCGGGCTTCAAGGTCAGTAACTACCTGGAGTTCATGGAGGGACTGGAGCGCAGCTACAGAAACATTGTTCTCTCCGACATGAAAAGCATCACTAACCCTGTCAAGTAAGAACATGTTGAAACTTTCTGTGTTAAACAACTTCTTTAAGTTTTAATCTGCCTCATCACAGCTTGGCTAAGATTCAGTACATACCTGAATACATCTCCTTGTGGCAACACTTGTCTCAACCACTTCCCACCATAGCATTTCTCCCACAAGCCTCCGCTGTGCACTGTGACACACTGAACACCATGTTTTCATGTTGATCAAGCCGCTTAGTGAGTCAAACTCGACAGATGGGGATGTATCAAGGATGAGAGCCTTGCCATCAGAATAAAGATGCTCCAATTCATGACGATGTTGATGGAAAACCGAATTTAGGGCACAGTTCTACAAAATTGTTCTCTGAAATGACATACAATTGCCTTCAAAGCAACATCCTTGTCTAAAACATGTCTTATTGTCATTATATCATAACAATACTACAAAAGTCCTACAAAGAGATTTGAACCTCATGTTTGTTCCATAAAATTAAAGGATTAAAGGATGGTGATATTCTATATTATTACATATTATTAAGTATTTCCTTTATATCTGAGGCCTGAGACATCCTGTTCCTCTGTGCCATAGAGCTCCATTGTAGTCCAAAAGCTATTATTACCATGAACACACACACTGTAGTTAATTTAAGTCGAACCCACATACACCGTACTGCTGCTGCAAATACTCAGATACGAAATGTGTCCTGCTCTCAAATACAGTTTACTCCAGTTTGAGTAACATTTTCTAAAAAAATTTAGTGCCCAGCTATTTATGCTAATTACTGAATATTTTTTTTATGAAATGAAACCTTATAGTCTTGAAGCTTTTTCAAAGATTCATGTCCTTGATAGTAACAAATGGGCTTGTGGCTGAGGGATGAGGCTTTGGAAAATGTTGAGGACGACAACTTACACATTTTTGGGATTTGCTGATGAACAGACAAATACAGAATACCGCCATACTTTTCCTGCATGTTCTACATTACTGTGCATGATGTAAATACTGTATGTGATGTTCATAAACAGCTTTGAAAGTCTAATAATCAAATGTTTTATTTCTGTATTTATGTTTACCCTCATGTAAATATCTAAGATCTTTTGTATGCATTCAACAAGATGTTCTTGTTCTTAGTACTGAAAGAAGCACAGAGTTGCAACTGAATGGATTTTGATGCAGTGTGAAACAAAAGACTGTGTTGCACTTTCTGTGATAATAAAGCATTTATCCAGATAAATTAACAACCTTTTGAATAATCTGTTGCCATCACCAGCTAAAGTATCAGATCCTCTATAGGCCAGTAGAGTCAGGCCATCTCGTGTCTATTACACACATTATTAATGCGAGGACACGCAACAATGCATCACACAGCCTCTCCTGTTTGTGTACTTATGCAGGTCTTTGTATGAAAGATGTATGAGGAAGGTTGTATCATCGTGATAAACCCTCATTAGTAACCACAGCCCTTTCTCTCTCTCGCCCCCTCCACTGCCGTCCTGTTGTCCCTCTTCAGACACACTGAGGCCTGAATAATAAATAAGCTCATAACATCCATCCATTTCTGTACCACAACAACAGTGTTTACCTGGGGAATGTGCACAACAGAGGCATTGGCTAACAGTGAAAGGAACAGATCAAATGTTTATCATGTAAAAGATGGCACGCACGCGCGCACACACACACACACACACACACACAGCAGTTCACCACTGAGGGTGTTTAACATTTAGGTCCCAATGTATTGAACCCAAAACTGAAAGCGTTTTTTGGCCACTTGGGGGCAGAACTCCATAACAAGCTGAACATAACAAACACAGTTGACATATTATAGCCTATTCACACATCAAACAGATATGGAGCAATATTGGCGTTAATTTGGAGGCGTGTTCCTGATAAAACCAGTCCAATATTCACTCTCCTTTTATCTCTTCAAAGGGAAATATTTGGCTCTTCAGCTGCTAAATGTTCCACCAAGTTCACCAGCTACTTTTATTCTTTTTCTGTCTGCTTTAAAGAAAGCTCTTTGAGAGCGGTGAGACTGAACCAAAACGGTAAAGTTGTGAGCTAGAAAAAAAAACCAATAAGATGAAAGACACTAAAATGCTCTGTAGTAATGAGGGGAACTGGAAAGTGAGATGATGTTTCTCTGTGGGTTTGTTACTATGAGAAATGCCTTCATATGTAAATATTCCAACAATGTTTTCATAATTCAAGTTTAAAACCGTAACTGACAAATTGGGGACTGTAAAGTTTACATTTTTGTTAACTTGGGTAAATGATCTTGAAATAAAGTTTAACAGTTGCTTATTATAAACTCCCGCCCATTGTTAAATGATAGGACGGTAATTCAGTTGGAGCTTCAATGATGAGTTATGGGCATCAAACACTCACTGGGGGTGGAGAAAGGTAAATCTTAAAATCTAAAAGCGTCAGTCCACCACTTTAATCCAGACTAAAATATGCCATTAACCATTGGATGCAGTGGTATTTTGTTCATATCTGGACTCATCGCTGAGTCAGGATGCTCATCTGTGTTACACAACATATATACATGGCCCACTTAGCGAAACATTTTAAGTGCTACGTCTTTGTCTACACGTTACTGATTGTAGGTCACACGTGTGTTGGGCAACGCTCAGAGCCCGTACGTGTGGTAAAGTTACTTGTATATAGCATGAGTGAAACACAAGATGTTACGCGGACTCTGTAAACATCTAGATTTATTAAAATAGAAGCATTTCTGTTCTTTCAGATGCACAAAGATTGATGACTGAAAAAAACAAGTCTACACTGTTGTGGTGACAAGCTGAACAATTTATAAAATAAAAAATGATTTTTAGATCAAAGTGTGGCAATAACATCCTCTTACAAAACAAACTAGCTTACCGTCAACTCATGTGCTGCAACACTAAATTTATTAAGGAAAACACTGAAAATTCATAAAAGAAAGAAATAAACAAACTATTTAATGTAGTAAAATGTCTTATATTGAACAAGCATATCAGGAAAAACATGCAGATGTCCGGCTGCTAACAGATGTGAAAACCAATAAAAGTTTCAAATTTCATTCGTGGGCTGACTGGGAGCCAGTGAAAATGATTTTAGCCTTCACTTAGACAGGCGAAGAAGCAAAAATCCCTGAGGCAAAGATGTTTACTTACAAGTTTTGGTCTGTCAATTTAAAGTAAATATAGTACATACTGTATGTGTGTTTATGTGTTTTACTTGGTTGAAGAAGTAGCAGACATAAAAATAAACCATCACAGTATGGTATGCAATATGTGCGCCTCAGCCTCCATGGGGGAAACTGTTGACAGGGACGATGTTTTTTAGGCTAAAGTATGAGTTCGGATTGACTCGATCACTTGTTTCAGTAATTGGACAGTGAAAGCGGAGGAGCTTTATGTCCTTCAGAATATATCGATCATTCTTTGGCTGTGCAGCGTGTCTCGTTTCACTAGCGCTCTGTCAGTCTGCTTTGTGGAAAATTTAATGTCAAGCTGTTGCCAGATGTCACTGTATGCTCTAGTTTCCAGAGTTTGAGTCTGTGAGCGGTGCACAGAGTTTTCATCAGCTTGAATCCATGTGGACGCTGCTTCTGTTGTGCAGAGTATCAGAGAGCAGGAGATTGATTTAGTGAGGAGAGACAGTGGTGGGCTGTAATCTGTCAAAGCTGCAGAGGATCTAGAAGTTTTTTTTGTCTTCAGGACACTGAGGGAACTCGACTTTGCTGAGAGAAATGGATGTTCCTAGCTGCTGGATGGATGGCACTTCTAGCTTGAAAGGGCCCGCTTCAAAACTGTACAAACGTCTGAGGAATGAGGGGACGTCTGACCCCTTTCTTTTTAATAACACTTGATCAACCTGGCAGCGTACCAGCCGACGGAGACTGGGGGACAGCTAACCTCTTAAAGAAAAGAGAGACAAAGAAAGATAAGTTTTGTCTCTATGTTAATAGACAAGTCTTTTGAAGCAAGGACTACTGGGGCATTTAAAATTGTAGGATCACATAGGAAAAACAGGATGAAAACACAGAAAATGGGAGCCTCAGCTGTTAAGGCGAGTTCACATTTTACAGAATCAAACTAGGTCTTAATCCGGCCATGAGGATGCCCCTGGCTACTGTTTTAAGACTGAACCCTCATTCACACAGACTACCATCATCTGTTGAAGGGAGCAATTGCTGACTTTGATCATTTGAAAGAGCCGTCAGTAAATCTGTGTTTGTTTTATTATGGCTGGCAGTTTTTAGTGCACTGTAATGCAGCATTATTTGCTGTCATTTACTGGAATAAACACGATTGGGGTCTTGTGTGATGATGTAGGATGGCAGAGTTTGGCTCTGATGGCTGGTTAAAATTTTGGATAAACTGTAAAATCACTAAGATCTGATGATAGTCAAATATGTTGTCTATCCTCGCTGTTTGTTAGCAACGTGCAAAACATTCATGTAAGATGCCGCTCACTTTTAGTCTGCGCCGGGTACTACTACTGCCGAAAACATCACCGGCGGCAGATCAGCTGTAACTGAGTTAGACTCTCTATTGACTTTTGATGAACTGTACTCAGTGCTGTTTCCTAAGTGGCTCCTGGCCATGCCTCAGAGAGTTAACAGAGAGAGTAAAATCAGGTCCTCTGGGATGTCACTGAAGTCTCGTGTCCACTGAGGCTTGAGGGGCTCAGTGCTGGGGTGTAATATTTCCATAGAGCTTGGTTCACTTGCAGAAATGGACAGGACGGTATCTAAGAGATCACGACGACATAATTGTGGTATAGATGAGTGGGCACGTTCAAGTTCTCCACAAGAAATTCAAAACAGTGCAGATGGTGCTTAAAAGAAAAGAAGAACCTGAACTGACACTTTGTCTTTCTCAGTAGGTAATATTGAGACTTGAAATACATTTGGGTTTTAATTTTGGGTTATGAGTCGTGAATACTACCTGTAGATGACATTCATTTTGCTGATGTTTATGTTTTTTTAAAGCCTCCTTTTAGCCAGTTTACAACTAATTACATTATACAGCAGTGGTTCCCAGCATAAGTGTCATGTTTATATAGGAAATAGACGACTGTTTACTGTTCCAGTCTTGATATGCTGAACAGAAATGAATGAATAAATGAAGCAAACCAACTGGTGCCTGCACAAGTTGCAAATATGTTACGGCCCTTTCACACTTTGTAGTTTGATCCGAAACTAAATTACAGGTGTTAAACCTCCCCCATACCAAGGTCTAAACCAAATAGCTGAAATTTGGTCCTCTACATCTAACTGAATCATGGTTTGGTTTGCTTCTAGTGGGAAAGCATTTTCTGAAAGGTTTCGGACTTTCAGAGCATTTATTGGCAATTACGGTGGTTCTCGTGTAAACTGGAAACAACCGAGAAAGAAGACGTAGCAAAAGAAAATGAGGTGAAAGATGAAGCAAATGTTGTTGTAGGGCTGGACGATTTCAACTAAAATCTAATTTTCAACATTTCACCTCCGTTACGATTATTGAAAGATTATTTTGGTTTTGAATGTTGTTTTTTTCACCCTCATATTTCACTGACAAGTGAATCCCCCCTCTCTTCCTTTCTCTCTCTCTCTCCACAGTTGCGCTGTAATTCTGTGGGAAACACAGTGTTTACAAACAATAATTGGGATTCATGTTGATAAATATGGGCAGGAGGTTGAGTGTGAGCAAGTATTCTCAATGTGACAACTTTCCATTATTTTGTGACTGGTGCCCTATAGGCCTTTTTGCTATCTTGATTATGAAATACAAATATATTCCAACATGTTGCCCACCTTAAGATGGCCTGCATTAAAACAACACGGGCGCAGTGTCAAAGATTTTTGACTTTTCGGACGGAGCCCACATATAAAAAGGACTGGACAGGGCATGAGTCACATGACTACACAAATTCAAGGAAAGTACATGATCACACACACAATATTAACAGGATTAAATAACCGACATGGTAAAATTACGTCGGTTAGAGGCTCTGAATTTCGGTTTCGATTACTTTTCCTATGTTGTTGTTCTATTTCTAACCAAGGAGAAATGCATTGAAATAGGGACATAATTATAAATCACCCATGACAGCTCATCATTTGAAACAGACTGCCACTGTGGAAGCAAATTGCCTCTCACCTCATTGGTCTCTCCACCAAACAGAGGTGCTAGGGCTCAAAGGAATGCTTGCCATCTTCTCCTCCTTTCCTACAGAGGGAAGATTTTATGTTCGCACAACGACATTC